ACCAACAGCGGTCTCCGTAATCTATGGTGGCCTGATATACCCCAGAAGTAGCCAAATAGCACTCAAATTTCCAAGATCAGGACATTGGATCTGCAATGTTCTCGTAACCGTAGCCTCCCTAGCGGTCTGATTATGTACATATTTCTGTGCTCAAAGCTCTACATTTTTTTGCATGGAAATATGTATTTTTTTATTGTAGGTCTGTAATTTTTTGGAATAACTCACTGAAATCTGTCCGAACAAGAGTCTAGTAAACATCCCGGGTATGTTAAAATTTGAAACACAAAATCATAAATTATAATTGAATAAATAATCATAAAAAATAATAATATATATAATAATAAATGTAAATAAATAAGATGATCAAACCAAAAACACTGAAGTTTGAAATATAGCACCAAGTTCGCACATCACTGAGCAAAGTCACAAAATCGTTTTCAGTGTCTGATGACGAATTTCCCCACGAATCATTATCACTCAATTCTGCAAGTGGTTCTGATTTACTATCGCTGTTCTCTAGCCGGTCTAAAACCGTTTTTGACGTAAAGGGACGCTTTTAAGATGCCATGGATATTTTTCATTTTCCAGGCAGAAAGAACAGTAAAAATGCAGGCAGGGCGCAGGACAAAGCACTCGGGACAAAATGTATGTGAAATGGTTTGATACAGTAATGTTTTACTATTATTATTATTATTATTATACAGTATTTATAAAGCGCCGATAGTTCGCTCAGCGCTGTACATTACAAAAGGGGGACAGAACATGTGACAGAACAATACCAATACAATGCAAAACATGAGGGGATCGAGGGCCCTGCTCTTTGGAGCTTACAATCTAGGAGGGAGGGGATGGTGGCACAGGAGGAGATAGCTGTGGGGGATGGAGTGGTAGGAAGAGTGGAGGAGGTCGGTCAAGTTAGCAGGGGGTGGGGTAGGCTTCCCTTAAGAGATGGGTTTTCAGGGTGCGCCTAAAGGAGAGGAGAGTAGGTGATAATCTGATTGGTTGGGGCATGGAGTTCCAGAGGATGGGTGATACCCTGGAGAAGTCCTGGAGACGGGCATGGGAGGAGGAGACCAGGGAACTAGAGAGAAGGAGGTCTTGTGAGGAGCGGAGTGTGCGTGCTGGGCGGTACTTTGATATTAGGTCAGTGATGTAGTTCGGGGCAGTGTGGTGGGCGGCTTTGTACGTCAGTGTTAGGATTTTGAATTTGATCCGTTGCGCAATCGGAAGCCAGTGGAAGGAGTGGCAGAGAGGGGGTGGCGGAAACGGAGTGGTTGGAAAGGTGAATGAGTCTGGCAGCCGTATTCAGGATGGACTGAAGCAGGGATAGCCAGCGACGAGGCAGGCCAGTGAGGAGGGAGTTGCAGTAGTCGAGTCGTGATATGATGAGGGAGTGGATGAGCTGTTTAGTGGTTTCTGGGGTTAGGAATGGGCGTATTTTGGCGATGTTGCAGAGGTGGAGTCTGCACGAGTTTGTTAAAGATTGGACTTGGGGCTGGAAGGATAGGTTGGAGTCCAGAATGACACCAAGCACTCCTGGCCTGCGGGGCGGGTTTGATATTGGCGTTGTTGGATGTGATGGAGAAGTCAATGGGGGGTGGGGTCCGGGCTGGAGGAAGTCAAGAAACTCGGTTTTGGAGAGGTTCAGTTTAAGGAAGTGGAGCGACATCCAATCTGATATGTCGCTCAGTAGGTGTGTGATTCGGGCAGAGACCGAGGGGGTGAGGTGGGGGGTTGAGAGATAGATTTGTGTGTCGTCGGCATAGAGGTGGTAGTTGAAGCCGTGAGAGTGTATGAGTTGGCCAAGGGAGGAGGTGTAGATGGAGAAGAGAAGGGGCCCAAGGACAGAGCCTTGAGGGACCCCAACAGAGAGGGGGAGTGAGGGGGAGGTGGTGGTATAAGTAACGCTGAAGGAGCGTTGTGACAGGTAGGATGAGAGCCAGGAGAGAGCAGAATCTCTGAGGCCGAGGGAGTATAGTTTTTTGAGGAGGAGGGGGTGGTCGACTGTGTCGAAGGCCGCAGAGAGGTCAAGGAGTAGGAGCACTGAATAGTGGCCATTAGCTTTGGCGGTTAGAAGGTCGTTGGAGAGTTTGAGTAAGGCAGTTTCGGTGGAGTGTAGGGGACGGAAGCCAGACTGTAGGGGATTGAGGAGGTTGGTTGTCGTTGAGGTGAGAGCATAGGCGGGTGTAGACGAGGCGCTCGAGGAGTTTAGATGTAAATGGGAGCAGGGAGATGGGTCTGAGGTTCTTCGGGTCATTGGGGTCCAGGGAGGGCTTTTTAAGTATGGGGGTGATGTGTGCATGTTTCAGAGGGGAGGGAAAAGTGCCTGAGGAGAGAGAGAGATTGAAGATGTGGGTGAGGGAGCATAGGATGGAGGGGGAGAGAGGTCGTAGGAGTTGTGAGGGGATAGGGTCAAGGGGGCAGGTGGTGAGGCGGGCATCAGAGAGGATCTTGGGGACTTCCTCGATGGTAGTAAGGTCAAAGGTACGGAGTGTTGGGGGAGCTTCAGTATGAGGAATGTAGGGTGGGGTGGAAGTGGAGGTCAGAGCAGTGGTGGAGCCGTGGGAGAGGGGTGATGAGGGGGTAGCTGAGTGAGGGGGAACGGGGTTGGAGGGAGTTTGAGCAGTGACGAAGTCCCTGCGGGTTATGTCGAGGGGGAGGGGGGATGAGGGGGTAGCTGTGTGAGAGGGGACGGGATGAGAGGGCGTGTGAGTTGCGGCAATGTCCTTGCGAATTGTGTCAATCTTGTTTTTGAAGTGATTGGCAATCTCAAGGGCGGTGAGTGAGGGCGGGTGGAGGTGGGGGTGGCGAGAGTAGAGAGTTGAAGGTGGAGAAGAGTCGGCGAGGATTGGAGCAGAGGGTCTTGATGAGGGTCAGGAAATAGGCTTGTTTGGCTGCATGGAGGGAGGAGGTGTAGGTGTGGAAGACAGATTTGTAGGGGTATGAATGTCACTTTTACAACTTTCAAATTACCCGCCAATTCTGTCCCTGTACGTCCTGAAATCGCAGGGAAAGGAACCCGGAAGACAGATGCGGCATCAGCCGGAGGACATTGCCGGGGACACTGCAGGAGGGACATCGCGGGGGAACGCAGGACAGGGTAAGTGAAGAAGAGATCCCGGAGCAGCGCTGCAGGGTATTCCCGAGTGTAGCTCGGGGTTACCGCTTGTGGTGCTGAAACTTTACCCCGAGCTACACTCGGGAATACCGCCAGAGAGGTTAAAGTAAACCTTCCAGTCATATTGAAACTTTTTCTTTCCTAAGAGCAGACACTGAAAAGAGCTTGTTATAACCATAGTTGGAAAGTTTCACATTACTTCCACCCAAGATCCACTTATTTTCTAACAGAATCTTGTGTGACTCTTGGGTGAAAGAACTCTGATGTCTGATATTTCCTCAAATTGAACCTTTCCAAAACCGAGCTCCTGATTTTCCCCCCAGCCCGTGCCACCCCCCCCACCCTCTCCATCACGACCAATAATGCCACCATCAGTCCCACCCCGCAAGCAAAAGTCCTAGGTGTCACTCTAGACTCAAACCTGTCCTTCCAACCCCATGTCCAATCGTTGGCAAACTCATGCAGGCTCCACCTCCGCAACATCTCCAAAATACGTTTGTTCCTAACCCCAGACACTACTAAACAACTCGTTCACTCCCTCATTATCTCACGTCTGGGACTACTGCAACTCCCTTCTCACCAGCCTACCTCATCACAGACTATCCCTGCTTCAGTCTATCCTGAACTCAGCGGCCAGACTCATCCACCTTACCAACCACTCAGCTTCTGCCACCCCCCTCTGTCATTCCCTCCACTGGCTCCCAATTGCCCAACGCATTAAATTCAAACTACTAACACAGACATACAAAACCATTTATAACGCTGCCCCAAACTACCTCACCGACCTGATACCCAAATACCTCCCAACCCGTACTCTTCGCTCCTCACAAGACCACCTACTGTCTAGCTCCCTGGTCTCCCTCCCACGCCTCCCACGCCCGACTGCAGGACTTCTCCAGGACTTCCTCCATCCTCCGGAACTCACTACCCCAATCCATCAGACTGTCACCCTACCCTCCTCAACTTTAGGTGCACCCTGAAAACCCATCTCTTCAGGGAAGCCTACCCCACCCTCACCTAACAGCCGATCTCCTCCACTCCTCCTACCATTCCATCCCCCACAGCCACTTCCTCCTGTACCACTATCCCCTCCCTCCTAGATTGTAAGCTCGAAAGAGCAGGGCCCTCAAACCCCTCGTGTATTGTATTGTTACTGTATTGTCTCATGTACTGTCCCCCACTATAATGTACAGCGCTGAGCAAACCTTTTAGCGCTATATAAATACTGTATAATAATAATATATATACAGTTGTGTTCAAAATAATAGCAGTCAGACATCACTAACCGGATCAATCACTGTTTTTGGTAGAAATTATATTTCTACATGGCAAATAATTTACTAGCAGGTGTAGTAGAGTAATAGAAATCCAACAGACCCAACAGTCATAACATGCATGCTGCTGATTCTGTGTAACTGAATCACTAATTGAAAGGGGCATGTTCAAAATAATAGCAGTGTGGAGTTCTATTAGTGAGGTCATTTATTCTTTGAAAAACAGGTGGCAATTATTGCCCTTTTTTAAGGAAGGAAGGCAGCAAATGTTGTACATGCTGGTTACAGTGCATTTCTCTCTGAAATTCTGAGGAAAATGGGTCGTTCCAGACATTGTTCAGAAGAACAGCGTACCTTGATTAAAAAGTTGATTGGAGAGGGGAAAACATATAAAGAAGTGCAGAAAATGATAGGCTGCTCAGCTAAAATGATTGCAATGCTTTAAAATGGCAACCAAAACCTGAAAGATGTGGAAGAAAGCGAAAAACTACCATTCGAATGGATATAAGAATAGCCAAAATGACAAGAACTCAGTCAGACGACCCCCAAACACTGAATTCAAGCCACAGTACACTGTGAAGACAGTGAAGCATGGTGGTGCAAGCATCATGATATGGGGATGTTTCTCATACTACGGTGTTGGGCCTATTTATCGCATACCAGGGATCATGGATCCGTTTGAATACATCAGAATACTTGAAGAGGTCATGCTGCCTTATGCTGAAGAGGAAATGCCCTTGAAATGGGTGTTCCAACAAGACAACGACCCCAAACACACCACTAAATGTGCAACATCTTGGTTCCAGACCAACAAGATTGCCGTTATGGAGTGGCCAGCCCAATCCCCGGATCTTAATCCAATAGAAAACTTGTGGGGTGACATCAAAAATGCAGTTTCTGAGGCAAAACCAAGAAATAGAGAAGAACTGTGGAATGTGGTCCAATCATCCTGGGCTGGAATACCTGATCACAGGGGCCAGAAGTTGGGTGACTCCATGCAACACAGATGTACAGCAGTTCTCAGAAAGAGCGCGACTACAACCAAATATTCATTAAGTGATTCAAAGGAAAGCAAAATCTTTAAACATTTTTCAGTTTATATAGTGAATGTTTGAGTTTGTAAAGAAGAATACAAACACTGCTATTTTTTTTAACAGTCTAATATTCACTTTTCTTCAATTTTTTTAGAGGAACAACACAAATTTGATATAATTTTCTTCATGTTTTGATCTGGAATAGAATGTGTAATGTTCCCAATGCATTTGTGTGGATGGAAATAAAAGCTATCAGAAGGATTTTGAGCTTTATTCACTTTTTTTTCAACACACTGCTATTATTTTGAACACAACTGTGTATATATATATATATATATATATATATATATATATATATATATATATATACACACATACACATACATACATACATACATACATACACACAGGGGTTGGAGAAAGATCTAGAAACACTACATGATTTGCAGGGGCGGAATTGACAACATTTCTCATTGAAAGCGAAAGTCATGTGACGCTCTTTTGCTTCCGTTGTGAGATGAAACACTTATGTAACAGGTGGGGAGCCTCACTTTTGACAATCACTGTGCTGCTAGTAATACGGAGTCATGTCAGAGCTTACTGAGTTTCAATCAGGGCAAATTGGTGCCCGCTTAGCTGGTGTCTCTGTGACTGAAGTTGCCAATTTATTTGCCGTGTCGTGATGTACAGTGTCAAAGGTTATGACAGCATATACAGTCTCTGCGAAAACATCATCTGAAAAGCATAAGCGCGGTCAACATGGTCAACTGACCGAAAGAGATAAAAAGTACATTGTGCAGGATTGTGACCCGGAATAAGAAAACAATTGCTGCAAAATTGACTCCAGAGCTCAGTCTATCTTCCAAAGCCCATGTCCTCAAAAACTGTGTGGAGGGAACTCCATTAGCAAAACATTCATGGGCGAGGTGCAACTGCCAAACCACTAGTGACCGATTTTAATGCTCAAAAGAGGACAGAGTGGTGCAACACCCATAAATCGTGGACTATTGATCAATGGAAGAGTGTAATATGGTTTAATGACTCGAGCTTCACACTGTTCCCAACCACCAGACGTGTTTAGGTGTGGCAAACACCGTCCCAGGCTTACAACCAGGACTGTCTTGTGCAAGCGGTAAAGCGCGGTGGTGGTGCAATAATGGTCTGGGCAACCACATCTGCAGGCCACATCATCACCTTGAAAGGTAGAGTCACTGCTAGCGACTATGTACAAATTTTGGCAACCATGTACACCCCATGGTGCAGACATTGTTTCCTGAAGACAGCACCATTTACCAAGACGATAATGCTCTGATTCACACAACTAGTGCTGTCAAATCGTGGTTTGACAGGCATTCAGACTAAGTCTCACCCCGTCCCTGGAGGCTGCAGTCACCGGACCTCAATATAAAGTCACTATGGTCAATTTTGAAGAACAAGGTTTGGGCTTGTTTTCTGCCTCCGGCATTTCTAATCAGCCAATCACATGGCATCTAGATATAGTGAAGACGACTTGCTGAAGTCCAAACCGAGCAGCAGAATGGGGAAGAAAGGGGATATGAGTGACGCTGAACAAGGCATGGTTGTTGTTGCCAGATGGGCTGATCTGAGTATTTCAAAAAACTGCTGATCTACTGGGATTTTCACGCACAACCATCTCTAGGGTTTATAGAGAATGGTCCGAAAAAGAGAAAATATCCAGTGAGCGGCAGTTGTGTGGATGAAAATGCCTTGTTGATGTCAGAGGAGAGAATGGGCAGACTGGTTGCTGTGACATTCAAATGGTAGGGTCAGAATTTGGCGTAAACATGAACGCATGGATCCATTCTGCCTTGTATCAACGGATCAGGTTGGTGGTGGTGTAATGGTGTGGGGGAGATTTTCTTGGCACTAGCAAGGTGTACCTAAGAAAGTGAGAAAGTGGCCGGAGAGTGTGTGTGTGTGTGTGTATATATATATATATATATATATATATACACACACACACACACACACACACATATATTGTGTGGTAATTTTATTAATTGATAGCCTACTTATCTACTGTTATAATGTATGCAGATGTATACAGCAATAGAAACAATAGGTATAAATGTACGATTCCAATTGTAAAACTCACTGGGGGTAGATTACTAAGACTGGAGAGTGCAAAATCTGGTGCAGCTCTGTATAGAAACCAATCAGCTTCCAGGTTTTATTGTCAAAGCTTAACTGAACAAGCTGAGGTTAAAACTGATTGGCTATCATGCCCAGCTGCAACAGATTTTGCACTCTCCAGTTTTAGTAAATCAACCCCATTATGTAATATTAGACTGTTCAAATGTATGCTATATTTAATTCCGCTTTATCTCTATTCATGTCTTAAAAAAAGAAACACTGAAACAGAAGAAAGAAGTTTGTGGGGCCACTGTGGGAAGAGATGGATGGGTAGAGATGTCCTCCCCAAGGAGATTTCTGGATCATTTCCTGTAACAATAACCTTCCAAAAAGCTATTTAATGCCTGTTAACTGCTTAGTAAACACCTACAAAATGCTTTATATGCATTTGCATATCACTTTATTTGCGTTCTAATGGACTATTATTGGGCTCCAACCACTTACCACCAAAATCTTGTTATCTTGACATTCTTTTGCTTTTAGACCCATTTAAAAAAAGCCACAATGTGTCTATAAACTCAGTGCAAAAAAACCCTAAGGCTGGAGAAAATTCAGAAGCTGTCTTGTTCAATTGGCTATCTTGGCAAGAAAGCTGGGAAAGGGAAGAAACAATATACAGGTGAAACTCGAAAAATTAGAATATCACGCAAAAGTACATTTATTTCAGTAATGCAACTTAAAAGGTGAAACTAATATATGAGATAGACTCATTACATGCAAAGCAAGATAGTTCAAGCCGTGATTTGTCATAATTGTGATGATTATGGCTTACAGCTCATGAAAACCCCAAATCCACAATCTCAGAAAATTAGAATATTGTGAAAAGGTGCAATATTCTCGGCTCAAAGTGTCCCACTATAATCAGCTAATTAAGCCATAACACCTGCAAAGGGTTTCTGAGCCTTTAAATGGTCTCTCAGTCTGGTTCAGTAGGAATCACAATCATGGGAAAGACTGCTGACCTGACAGTTGTGCAGAAAACCATCATTGACACCCTCCATAAGGAGGGAAAGCCTCAAAAGGTAATTGCAAAAAGAAGTTGGATGTTCCCAAAGTGCTGTATCAAAGCACATTAATAGAAAGTTATGTGGAAGGGAAAAGTGTGGAAAGAAAAAGGTGCACAAGCAGCAGGGATGACCGCAGCCTGGAGAGGATTGTCAGGAAAAGGCCATTCAAAATTGTTGGGGACTTTCACAAGGAGTGGACTGAGGCTGGAGTCAGTGCATCAAGAGCCACCACACACAGACGGATACTGGACATGGGCTTCAAATGTCATATTGCTCTTGTCAAGCCGCTCCTGAACAACAAACAATGTCAGAAGCGTCTTACCTGGGCTACAGAAAAACAGACCTGGCCTGTTGCTCAGTGGTCCAGAGTCCTCTTTTCTGATGAGAGCAACTTTTGCATCTCATTTGAAAACCAAGGACCCCGAGTATGGAGGAAGAATGGAGAGGCACACACTGCAAGATGCTTGAAGTCCAGTGTGAAGTTTCCACAGTCTGTGTTGATTTGAGGAGCCATGTCATCTGCTGGTATTGGTCCACTGTGCTTCATTAAGTCCAGGGTCAACGCAGCCATCTACCAGGAGATTTTGGAGCACTTCATGCTTCCTTCTGCAGACGAGCTTTATGGGGATACTGACTTCATTTTCCAGCAGGACTTGGCACCTGCCCACACTGCCAAAAGCACCAAAACCTGGTTCAATGACCATGGGATTACTGTGCTTGATTGGCCAGCAAACTCGCCTGACCTAAACCCCATAGAGAATCTATGGAGCATTGCCAAGAGAAAGATGAGAGACATGAGACCGAACAATGCAGAAGAGCTGAAGGCCGCTATTGAAGCATCCTGGTCTTCCATAACACCTCAGCAGTGCCACAGGCTGATAGCTTCCATGCCACGGCGCATTGAGGCAGTAATTGCTGCAAAAGGGGCCCAAACCAAGTACTGAGTACATATGAATGCTTATACTTTTCAGAGGTCCGATATTGTTCTATGTACAATCCTTGTTTTATTGATTGCATGTAATATTCTCATTTTCTGAGATTGTGGATTTGGGGTTTTCATGAGCTGTAAGCCATAATCATCACAATGATGACAAATCACGGCTTGAACTATCTTGCTTTGCATGTAATAAGTCTATCTCATATATTAGTTTCACCTTTTAAGTTGCATTACTGAAATAAATGAACTTTTGCACGGTATTCTAATTTTTCGAGTTTCACCTGTATTATGATTCCTGTAGGTGGCAAACCCAATTTGTTCAGGTGGGCCAAATACCATGTTCTCTTCTGGAATCTTCTCCCATAGTCCCCAATAGCCCAGATCCCTATTAACTTCTGCCATATGACTAGACTTTTCCTGGAGTGAAGAATTCATGTTATAGAGAAATAAATGCTACTTTGCCACGTAGTGAACTTGTAAGGGGTCTGATTTTTATATCGGTTCATTATTACATGACCAATCCTTCCTGCCCCCCCAGGCATAGAGACCCTATTAAAGGGACACCAGGGCTGGGTGGGAAGGTGTTAATAAGAATAATGAATGTTCTGCATTGCTCTGTGAACTGTAATAAAGCCCAAATCTATTTTTTTAAAGCAGACCTCCAGCAATAACAAGATAAAAATGAATAGTCCATTAAATATACCTTTTTTTTGCTGCAATATTCACCTTCAATCCAAAAATTTCCTTTGTAGTAACCTTTTTCACTAGATGCACTCAGTCTGATGGTAAGAATAATTAAATCTCCTTTCTCTGAGCCTAGGTCATTCCGGACCAGCCCCTAGCGTGTGACAGGACAGTGAAATGAGAACTAGAGCAGTGAAGCAGAGCTCATCTCTCTCTATCACTCTGCTTCCTCCCCCTATCAGTATGCTTTTTATCAGACAATGAACTGATTGGTTCCTAGTGCTGCTTCTTCCTTTCACACTCTAGCTCTACTGTACAGAGACTTCAAGAATCTAATAGCAGGTCAATTTCTGGTGGGAGTGGGATTTCACATTTGAAATTTAAATTGGAAGAGGACTTTTTATGTTCACTTATATATTGACTTTGGCTCACCATTAGTTTTCACAAATAATCACCAGCACAGCAATGTATTATTATTTTTATATGGTGTTATAGGCAATAGACAATCAATTCCTGCATCATATATAATTTATTTATTTTTACCAATCCTTTTATCAATTGATTTGGAAATAACAGTATAAGATACTATAGATAATTCATATGGGAGCGCGGCACTATTAGTATATTTATCTTTAGTCACATAGCACTGTTTAATGAGTTGGTGTGAGTGTCAGCGAACCACAGGTGTGTTGTATTTTAGTCATTATTTTTATTCATACAATTAATTAGAAAATCACAGGTTTTCTACCATAGTAGCTCACAAGTGTATATATATAAATTCTTTTGTCAATTTCTGATACTTACACTGCTTGCATTTAGAATACATTATTATATTGTATACATTTGAACATCAATATATATTTAATGATGTTTTCAAGTTTGCAGAGAAGTGTCTTTTATGTTTGGCCAGAGTTCAGTTTTAGATATGAAAGAACTTGGGGAAAGGATAGAATCATCTATGTCGCCATTGGAGGGTTAAAAAAGTGGCTGATCCGTGTGCTTTTACTGCCCCCCACTGCAAGTTACCCTAAGGGGTAACTCCACTTTTGTGGAAAAAAAGAATAGCAACTAAAAAAAATAGTATAGCACATTCAATTGCTACACGAATCATATTGTAATTGAATGTTATTAAAACAACCTTTCCATTTCAATCTCCTAGATTGTAGGCTCGAAAGAGCAGGGCCCTCGAACCCCTTGTGTACTGTTTTGCTACTGTATTGTCTCATGTTCTGTCCTCCGCTATAATGTACAGCGCTGAGCAGGGTGGATAAAAATCAATGATTTTTTTTAAAAAATCAGATTTTTTTTATTTAAATCGGATTTTTTTTAAATAAAATGCTTTTTGAGGAAAATATATTACCATCCAAAGGTTATTCCATCATGAAATAAAGATTCGTTTTTTAATTATGTAGAATAAGGCTGTATAGGTTTAATTTTTTTGGTAAATAAATTCCATGACTCCATTCACAATGTCATGCTCTTCCAGAGGTTTCTGTAAGATTATTGGGCAGTTTCTCTGCCTACAAGATATTATCACAGATGTTTGGTTTACTTTTGCAGTTCTCAAAACTGAATTTGACTCAGCGGAGATCACATGCCTCTTCTTCACAGCAAAAATGTTATAACATGAACAGAGTTAAGAAAAAGACCTTCATCCTAACTTCTACAAACCTCTGAATACAGAATCAACCCCTTCAGTGATAAGTTTCAAGAAGTTCAGTGAATAGAATAGAAACAATATTTTTCTGATTGTTTGGAGTGGAATAGATCTGCACAAGAAGAAAGTGAAACTAAGTGTGAGGAGGACGGGGCTGACAGTCTAAGTTTCTTAAAATATATATATTTTGTTTAGACAAATTAGTTACCAAACATGGATGTTTAAGCAAATAGCATATGCTGGAATATTATTGTTTCAGATGAATAAATCTATTTAAATTGTTATTATTAAGGTAATGATTATTTTTCTCCTTCCTAAATACAACAGAAAAGTTGTCCAAATATGAATGATTAACCTATTAAAGTTGTAAAAGTTGTTATTCTAAAAATCTTCATCTACTTGCATATTAAAGTTATACCAGCAAGAATTAGTCTTTATGTAGAAAACTAGGATTTAAATCAAGCCCCTGGCGCTGAGCAAACCTTTTGGCGCTATATAAACACTGTATAATAATAATATTAATAATAATAATAATCTGCAGAGCTGTAATTTTCTGTAAGATGCAATATGGCTACCTGGAAACATTCTGTACACAAATGGTGTACAGATTGCCCTCCAGAAATTTAAGTTTCTGCTAGTGTGATTGGCTCGCTGATTTTCCCAGAAGTCTTCACTAAGATGAAAGTCAGATTTTGGGCATCCCCTGCAACAAAAATGCAATTTTGGTGAGATACTCCCTATGGGAAATTACATCTAAAGGGGTGCAGACTCTGCCAATTTCCTCATTAGAACCCTGCAAATACAGCAGCTGACTGATAATTAGAAAGTCACTCCAATACACATTTACTCTGACCATGGACACAGATAAACAGCTATTTCTTCAGAATAACAAAAGGTAGGAATCTGCAACAAAGTACCTGCAATGCACAATGTACAGAGAACGTTTTTCTTCTCAATAAAAGTAGTAGTTCTCTTTAGCTGGATGAGTGTTTTTTTTTCATGCAAAAAAACAAAAAACAAATAGGAACATACATCTCCCACACAAGGTGCATGGAGGAATCCCCCCTGCTGGGACATTGTATTCTGACAGTAAGACTCCCTTTTATCAGGATACCCTGATCAGAGGCTGCAGCTGCTGATGGACAAAAGTTCCCCAGCTTGTTCATTGGACAGAAGTCAATCTAACAATTGACTTTTGTTGAGTAGCAATGGCCGCACACAGGCCAAAATTCAGCCGGTTCCCTGGTGAACCAACTGAACTTTGATCCATCTATGGCAGTATTCCTCTGTTACAGTTATAAACTGTAGAACTAATAAAGTGGTGTCTCTCAACCCCCAACCTGCTGATTGGGCAGTGAAAGAACAGCAGCAGATTGATAAGGTCATCTTTCTGCTCACATTACTCTTTCCTCCTATCATCATGCTCCTTGTCAGCACTTCAGCACATCTGTCCTCAGTGCAAGTGGCTGATACCAAGTTGAATCCAGTATTGGCATAAATTACTTTACAAAAATACATGTATTAACATATGATAATAATTACCGTATTTTTTCGCTCCATAAGACGCACTTTTTCCCCCCAACAAAGGGGGGAAAATGACAGTGCGTCTTATGGAGCGAATATAGAGCGGCCGGTCCGGTATTTCCACCGCCGCCGTGCAGAATACCGGGCCGGCCGCTCAGCTCTGCAGTGGGACCTTATGGAGATGACTGCTGACCTTTGGGGAGGTGGGGAGCGGGTACCTGAATTGGACAGGTACCCGCTCTTACTTCTTTGTTCTTTGATCTTACCTGTTCCTCTATCCAGCGGCGCGCTGTCTTCCCGGCTTCTGTAGTGCGGGCACTGGGCATGACAGCCGGGTGCCAAGTGCGCATGCGCAAGAAGCGGTGCTTTTTGTGAATGGTAAGGCGGTACCTGGGACACATGACAGATCCCAGAAGCCGCCGGACCAATCACAAAGCGCAAGTGCTTCTCGCTCATGCGCAGTGGGCACCCGGCTGTCATGCCGAGCGCCATTACAGAAGCCGGGAAGACAGCGCGCGGCTGGATCGAGGAACAGGTAAGATCAAAGAAAAACTCTGCGGAAGTAAGAGCGGGTACCTGTCAAATTCAGGTACCCGCTCCCCACCTCCCCAAAGGTCAGCAGTCATCTGTACTGTCCGCAGTCTCTGGTCATCCCTGTGCTGTCCGCAGTCTCTGGTCATCCCTGTGCTGTCCGCAGTCTCTGGTCATCCCTGTGCTGTCCGCAGTCTCTGGTCATCCCTGTACTATGTCTGCAGTCCATTAGTTCAGAATTTTTTTTTTCCTGTTTTCTGCCTCTAAAACCTAGGTGCGTCTTATGGAGCGAAAAATACGGTAATTCAATCATATATAATAAATATATATATATATACATATTTAATTAGAATATCATCTATATACTGTATATACATATATTTCTCTCTCTCTCAAAATAACTCAACACACAGCCATTAATGTCTAAACCGCTGGCAACAAAAGTGAGTCCACCCCTAAGTGACAATGTCCAAATTGGGCCCAATTAGTCATTTTCCCTCCCCGGTGTCATGTGACTCATTAGTAACATTTGTAATTGCAACAATTTTCTGGGTGAAGTGGTGCTTTATCTGACAGAAATGCAGGGGTGCCAATATTTTTAGCCATCACTG